GTTTGGTATTTAAAAAAAAAGGTTTTCTTGCTCTTTTGTTTTTTAAGTTTTGGTAAATTTAGTTGCAGCTTTCGCTTCTGTTAGTATCATTGGATCCATATTAGCTTCAACAATATTTTATTTGGTTTTATTCTAGTGTTCTTGTTCCGGTTTGAGTTCTTTTGTTCGTTTTCCAGTTGTAGCTTCCATTTGCATTTTTGGTGACAAAAGTATTTGATTTGAGTTTCTATTTGTTTGGCCGTATTTGCATCTATTCTAGTTTTGCTTCACGTATCTATTTTATTTTTATTATTTTTTTTCGTTGGGTTTTGCTTTTGTTTCGTGTTGCTGTTGTTTGGAAAACTCTCAATGCTTATTGCTTAAGCATTGTGAGTTTGAGGGAGAGAAAAAGAATTAAGAGAATTTGGTAGCTTGGTAGAAGATAATAAAGAGGATTTGGTACATTAGTTTAGTACAATGCAAATTTGCATATTATTTTTTTCTTTGTTGTGATGCTTTTGCTAGTATCTTTGGGGTTCTTTTGTTTTGGCTGCTTTCATGCAAATTGTTTTAGCTGCTTTCATGCAGATTGTTTTGTTTTGATTGCTTTCATGCAAATTGTTTTGTTTTGGCTGTCTTCATGCAGATTGTTTGTTTTTAGCTGCCTTCGTGCTGATTGTTTGGTTTTTGGCTCCTTTCGTGCAAAGTGTATGTTTGTGGATGTTTTCATGCATGTTGTTTGGTTCCGATGCTTCTCTTGAAGATTGTTTGGTATCAGCGTTTAGATGAAGATTGTTCTTCGTTACTAGAATGCAGATTGTTTGGTTGCTTGTAGATACGAATGTTTGCTAAGGAACACTCAACTTCTCCTCTTTGTTTCTTTGAAGACAAACTCTCAATGCTTGTTTCCACCACATTGTGGATTTGAGGGGGATGTTAGTATAATAAGTTATTTGGTCTCTTTTTGTATTAGGCCTTATGTTTGCCTCATTAGCTAGGTTAACTCTAGATAACTTTCTTATTTATAGTCTTATTTTGCCTTTCTCTGTATTGATAGTTTTTCCATCAACAACATAACATTAGCCATTTTACTTCTAAATAGTTTTCTATCAACAATGTAACACTAGCCATTTTCTCTCTATATTATTATTAGTTCTCTTTAGATTCTTATTTGTTCACAAAATTAACATGTGCAATTTAGGATATATCAAAGGTCGTTACAACTTGATTCTTTTCATGTCAAGTTTATGGAAAGGGTGTTGGTGTTGTTGGGGAGGCCGAGTGTACAATTCAATGGCAGTAGGTGGCATAAACAAGAGTAGTTGGCGTTTATGGGAGGTTGGATAAGCGGCGATCCAAGTGGCTGGCAGTGGTTGTCGATGGGAAGAGATCACTGATGATTGTCAATGGTTGTCAATAGGAAGAGGTTTGTTGGAGGCTTGAGTCGAAGAAGGAGGACACATATTTAAAGGATGGAGAAAAAAGGGCACTTTTTTCTTTTAGGGTTGTGAGGGTAAATGTGTAAGTTTTTCCAAAATATAATTTTTATACATAAGTAATATGTTGAATCGCTTATAGGCTACTTAACCATTTATATGTTAAATTTAGACTTGCCAAACACCATACATGTTAAGCGGTTAAGAGCATGTCTTTTAATTGAACCATTAAGAGGTTTACCGAACAACTTCTTAGAATATATGAAACTAAAAATGTTAATTAAAAGGTTAAATTGAGTGAAATAGAAAATTTGAATATTAAGGGACCAAATTTGCCAAATATCCAAACTTAATTTTAACATTGACTTAACTATATTTTGATCTAAGATGGTAAGAAATTAACTTTCTAAACTTAATGCGGAAGTATTAAGACTTGTTGGTTAAATGAGATTTAGTTGAGGAAAACGAGAAAGTTAAAAGTCTAAGTACCTATTTTGCCATTATGTCAAAACTATGAACTAAGGCCTAAATTCCCTCTCAAATTACTTATTCAAATGTTTTTTTTTGGGGGGGGGGAGAGAGAGAGAGAGAGAGAGAGAGAGAGAGAGAGAGAGAGAGAGAGAGAGAGAGAGAGAGCAATAGAAATTGAAATTTGGAGATAAATGATGAAATTGGGATCAAAACTGAACATCTAAAGGTGTTTCTAAGTTAATACTTGAAACAGAAGCTTGTAAGGTAGCTTTCTTCATTGTTGTTGTCTCATGTGTTTAGGAAAGCTCTATGAATATAAATTCTATGATGCAATTCATGATTATATTAAGTTGTGTTTTGAATTCTAAGTTTGTAACACTAATCTAATGATGTAAGTTTATCTCTTTGGTGAAAAATAGAGATATGAAGCTTTAATGATTGATTTGAAACCATGGATTCTTGAATTCATTCATGGATATGATGGAGTTTGAGATATAAGTATGGGTTAGTTTTATAATTATGTTTAGATGTAATTATAATGCTTTTAAGTTCATAACATATATTGAAAACATCTAATTTGGTCAAACTTGATGTTATGATGTTTTGATGAAGTTTATGAGCTATAACAATGGTGGATCATCCTTGATATATTCAAATTCAAGTTTGAATAAGGATATAGTGATCTTGAATGATTTGGAATTAGATTATTGTATTCTAAAGTCCAGATCAATGAGATAGATTCCAATTTAGTAGTCATATCTTAAGATTAGAAGTTCTAATTGGAAGATGATGAAGATCAGTCATTAATTGATGAATTAATGGTGTTAATCATGTGTTAATTTAGTGTTAGAGTGAATCTTTGAAGTCGATTTAGGTATGGTAAAGCATTAGAGTTGGAATTGGAGGGGTTCGAACTCATTTGGATAAATAAGTTATGGAAGCTTAATGGAGGTTTTAACTCGTAATGTGTGGTCAAGTCGTTCTACTCAACCGAGTGGAATCATAGAACATGTTTCACTCGGCCGAATAGAACTATGTTTTCACACGTGAAAACTTGTTTAATTCAATTCCACTTTTTATTGTTTATTTTTTATTTTAATTATCTTCTATAATCTTTGGATTGGTAGAAAAAGAGTAATTAGGAATAAGTTACTCAATTTATGTTGATATTTAAGTCACCACTATACGTCCAAACATCACTAAAAATGGAAAATAGTATCTATAATTATCGAGGTCAGTTATTGCCCAATAATACATGTCTTACTATATGTTGCTCACTTAAACCCTTTATTGTTTGAAATTTAATGTGCATTTACTATGGGAATACTATACATATCTTGATGCATTCAAGAAATGGATTTCTAATGAGTTTTTACAAACGGGACAATATTATTGTTTGGATTAAATCTTTTGGTCATAAGCATAAGCATTCACTTAGTAATGGTTGATGACTTATGTGATCCCAAATGTCACTCGAGTATCTAATTTTTTTGATGATGTGATGGCATTCCAGGTAGGACTCACTTGCATGTGAGGCTAGATACCTCTCGTGTGGTCATTTGTGATGGCACATGACCCTAACATTTAGAGTCCATATGTGTATTGTTTGTTGTGTACTACCTTTACACATGCTATTTTTGATTTAACTTTGGTAAGGTGTTTTAGACGTAAGATTATTGGGAGTAGAGAGATATGTATTGCATTATTTTGAGGTTGTTGACTTATTAATGATAAGTTTGATGTTGTTTAGAAATGCTTAACTTTTGAAATTCTTTTTACTAAAATATTGAATCTACATATATATTTTGATGTTTTGAAAGCTTTTTAAGGGGTTTGGCTTTTATGTTTGAATTGTCAGTTTATCTTGAACCCTTAATAGTTTACCTCGGTAATGTTCACAAGGCTTTCCAAGACTGAACCAACGTATTTTGATATTTATTCATATTGGAAGACTTGGGCAGATATCAAAGATAAATTTAGCTTTTGGAAATTTAGAAGATGATGTAATTAAGATTTAAGATGGAAGAAAGTTGTTTACTTTACATTTGTCTCTGATTATCTTGTTACACTCTGTGTGCGTTGACGACTCAAGAAAATATAAATGTTAATGACTTGATATTTTGAGACATCAGTTTGTTGATTTCTTAAATAAATAATTTTTATATTAAAAAATATTTTAGATTTGTTTTAAATGACTATTTCAAACAACTCATAAATGTATGTTTCAAAGATCCGCTCAAATCTAACCCCCAAGCATGCCACCACCTAACCTTTTTTTTTTTTTTAAATTTCGCACCAATTTTAATTTTTGTTATGAAGTTCGTCCAAACTTTTAAATAGATTGTTCCTAATTTAAATATTTGTTACGGATTTGGTTCAAACTTTTTTCTATAAATTTCTTCAACTTATTCAGAACTTAGTTTTTATATGTTTTTTTAAACATTTTTATATCTATTTTAGAACTTCCTTTTTTACAAATTAGTTTTTACATCTTTTTTTGCATATGCATTTAAAAAAATTGTTGTCCAAAGTTTTTTATGTCTTGCGTATTGCATATACATACATTTTTCGAGGCATCGTACGAGTTGCAACCTCTTATTTATGCTAAATAGCAACCCAATTATCTTTTTCAATCGATACAAATGGACATGTCTTTAATTATATGTAAAATCAACTCGACATTTTATTGATCAATTTGTATTTTGCTATAAACAATGAAAATAATATAAGTTCATCATTGTTTCTAGTAGAAGAAACATAGTGCCTATACTTGTAGAATAAGACAAGTACATTGTTATCTTGTATAGAGGTTATAAATGGTGTCCATCACCCAATAAGTTAATGGTTCAAGTTTTGTTTGAAACAAATATATAGATTCAAAAGTAAATTATAAGATTTGTGAGTCAATTGTTCGAAACAATTGTAAATAATAGTTTATATTTAACAACCAAGTTTTTTTTTAGCATTTTAGGAAGTACAATGATGAGTTTCCAACAAAACTAACTATACACACAATGATTTGATTAGAAAGGTTATTGTATTTGCTAGATTAAGCGATACATTCCAAAATCTTTGAAAATACGCTTTTTTTAGCTAATTCCAAAAACAAAAATCTTACCAATAATAGTTCACATTTCACATAAACAATATAATAAATCCAAAATTCATAATTTTCTTTTTGTAAAAGATTTACTTCTTGTGCAATCGAGACTCTGGGGTGTTATGTCCCAAAGGAGATAATGCTTGCCTTGGTGAACCCGATTCAATGAAGTCAATTTTCTTCTCAATTGGACTATTTTCTCTTGGACTACATTTCCTTTTATTATTCTGCACAAAAATTCACATGAAAAATCAGTTTTTTTTCTTGTAAATTAAAATGTTTTTTATATTTACCTTTAAGGATGCACTACTAATCTTTCCACCAGAATCATTATTCACTTGTCTTTCTTTTTGGATTAGCTTCATCAATCTCCTATTTTCTTTATCCAAAATGTCATTTTCTTCATACAAGACTTTAACCTATTATGCATACCCAAGTTTCATTAGTCAAAGAAAGTCAAACACACACACACACACACATATACACATACACATATAGTCATATACAAACATACACACACCTCTTCTTCTGCTGTTGTGAGGTTATTCATTAAATGATCCTTTTCTTGCAGCAGTATCTTCACCTCAGAAGCAAGTGCTAAAACCTTTTGTGTTGAGGGCTTCAAGCTACATTTAGACAATACAAATTTTGGTAAATTTACTTGAAATTTCTCCAAGAAAAGTTTCAGATTTGAAAACATTACCTTTCCCACATTTGTAGCATCTTTTGACACACTTCAACCCCACTATTTGCCTCTAAGAAAGAATGTGCAGTTGATGGAATGTTGTCTTTGGTAATCAAAGTTGATAGCAATGTATCAACAAGAAAATGTTCTGAAGATGCAGTTTTTGTCACTTCACTAACCTTCAATTAAGTAAAACAATGATATAAATGTTAATCAACCTTTAAATAAATAGCATCTTATGTTCAGATGAAAAGATGAATTACTTGTTGGGTCTCTGATTGATGCTTATAGAACTGGAGTTCTTCAGACAATTTACTTAATTGATCTTCCAAATCATGAACACGAGACTCTGCCTCCTTAGCTCTGTTGTCTGCCTCGTTCCCAAAGTCCATTAAAGCTTCTCGATCATGGTCATACAATGAACATTCCTTCTCCCACTTCTTACACTGATTTAACAAATTAGAACATTCTGCAGCCAGTTTTTGATTCTCTTCTACGAATTTCTTTACAGCAAGTGCATTCAGACTCGATTCAACCTACATACAATTCAAGGGAAGAAAATCTAATAAATAATCCAAAAAGTTTCTCTTTGGTTTCACTCTATGCCATGTTGCTAAACTGAAGACTTCTACGCCATGTAAATAATGAACATAAAAAGTGTAATTCAAACCCTAAATCCTAATTACGCAGTTCATAAGAAGCTTGTGAAATTGAAAGCAGCATTTACAGTAAGGAATTTTCAGGTGTTAAATGTAAAGAAGAATACAAACCCTAACACGTTCGATGGTTTCATCTTTCTCTTTCAATTTGGATTTCAAATACAAATACTGATCGCGAAGCTGCCTTTGTGTTTCTTCTGAAAATCGAAGCTTTAACTCAAGAGTATGTGTAGATACAGGAAGACCGAGTGAATACTCTATAGATTCACGAATGTAGTCATCAGTTTCTTGTGGAAGATCCATTCTCGAGTTCCCCGTCAGTGAAATCGTGTTTGTGTTAGTGCTTTGAACACCCCTGATTTAATGAAACCGAAGAAACAAACCCTAGATCGCTTTTTCGTGTATAGATCCACACACACAACACACAATTAGGGAGAGATTGAGAGGATTTGGTCTGAAGGGAGAGTGGGAGAATAGGGTTTATTTGAAATTGGGGGAGAGCCGTTAGAAAAAGGGGCAGATGTCGAAGTGGGTGTGAGCACTTTTAGCGTTTTGAAAATATTTACGATTCCTTCCCTTCTATTTGACAACATGTGTAAATCTTTCCCTTTTTAGGAAAACATCTACAAATGCCCCCACACAAGTTTATAAGGAAAAGCTTTTGTAGTTTATCACTGACAAAATTGCAGCAATGGTCCCTTTGATTTGCAGATTTCTTTAGGTAAGGTCCAAAAAATAGTTTACTCGTAAAAAAAAATCATTTTTTTTGTGGTTTGAGTGTGGAATTAGTCCCTAAAACTAACATTCGTTAGTTTGCTCTGTTAAATCTGTTTAAATGACTCTTTTGCCCTCTATTTTTATAATTCTATTAATTATATTATATTAGTAATATTAATTAAAAAATATTCTTACAAATTATTAACCTAATAAATTCCTAGCCCCAATACATACTCTCTTCCCCCTATCTACTTCGTCGAGCAGAGCCTCCCACCCCCATTTCGTCTTCCTCCTCCAGTAACCTGACAATACTTGTGGTCTTCATCATCTCCGCTAAACACCTTTTTCTCACCCATCCTACCACACGTCCCCAACTATCTATCTATCATCTCCCTATTATCCCACCACTCCTACTGGTTATCCCACCATCGCCGCCGACCAGGGATCACGATCGATGCCAAAGGCTGATGATCGAGAATGGAACAACCCAAGTGATCCCTAAATAACCACAACCTCATTCTCTTACCGACCACACCCTTACCTACCGTCGATGAAGCACCACCATCGCCACTTCAGTGCTGTCATCGCCATTGAAAGAAGTAATTCCCGTACAAGATTTGCAATACCAAGAAGGTTGGCATCTCCTATAAGGCGAATACAAATCGGACGGTCAAATTCCCTTTCTCTTCGTCTTTGTTCATCCCTTCCTCATGCAAAACTTACCTTTCTGCGACTTCACCTAATTTTACGTTTCTTCATTCATGAAAAAAAAAACGAAGCAATATCAGTTCTGCATCTTATGGAACACCCATGTTGTATGTTTGGTATGTGGTACTGTAGGGAACTCATTAAGCCTTATGCTTACACTTTTTGTTTATGGTTTTAGGTACTTCCGATATGAAAGAAAAAGGCCCGGTGTGATAGCACAACATCCTCCCTCATGATTTCCGCACTTTTTGGATATTTGTACTCTGATATTTTGATATTGTATTTGGTGATTGGCTTGGAGATATTTGGTGTATGAAACTATTGGTTTTAAAAATGAAAAATTCTATCACTGTTTTTGGGTTATTACAAGTTGGTATCAGAGCCTTGGTTTGAGGGATTCGGGCACACTCCCGGGTGTGTGAGAACTCAACTGAGGAAATGATATCTTTTCAAAAGAAAATATAATTTATTAAAATATTTTCACTAAGAAAAGGGGGGGGGGGGGGTGCGATACATGCAATCAGCCGAACTCAAGTAAGTGGTTCCCAAAATACCCATACCCATATGTTATAATTAATATGCCTGATATCTGAATTGCATGCTAGAATAGGGCTAAGGATACCTTCAGGAATCATATGATATAATTGCCTGATTTTTGTGATGTCTTATAGCCTACGAGAATTGGATGTTATGTGTTATTTGGAGTTGATATCGACTCAGTTATTTGCTAAGTGTATGCTTTAAAAATTGTATATGATTAGGTTCATATAGCCATAGAATGATCGGTTTAGCCTCATTTCCTGTTCTTTATTTGGTTGTGGATTTAGGGTAGAATCATTATTCAACATTTTGTAACACTTTGTTTCGTTTAACTAATATTTTTAGGGCATTCCAACCAAAAGGTTGTGGGCTAGGGGTAATCCAACCAGGTGGTTGTGGACCCGTTATGTATTGGGCAAGCCAACCGAAAGGTTGTGGGCTAGGGGTAATCCAACCGGGAGGTTGTGGACCCAATATGTATTGGCAATCCAACAGAAAGGTTGTGGGCCTAGGGTAATCCAACCCGTGATTTTTCTAGTCATGTGTTTGTGTAGTGGTACTTTGGGGGAACGCACTAAGCTTTGGCTTACAGTTTTTAGTTTATGCTTTCAGGTACTTCCGGGGATCGTGGGAAGGCAAAGGCGTGATCGTACACAACTTCCTGTTTTATGTCATTGGGTCTTGGAAGAAACTCTGATTTGAAATAAAGCTTTTGAAACAATGACTATTTTTGTAAGCAATGTTTATGAATGGTTTATTTTGAAAATTTTAAATATATTGTGATTTTTGAGTGTTACAAGTTGGTATCAGAGCCTTGGTTTGAGAGAATTGGACGAGCATATGTGTGAATCCAGACTTAAACTAGGGAACTACAAAAGTTTTTAAAATTATTTTCAAAAAATTATTTTCAAAAGTAAACAAGGAAAGAAGCGATGTTTACGATCAGCCGGAACAATAATGTATATCCCAAATTACCCACACTGTTATTTGCTAGTATGTTATGATAGAACATCATGCTAGTGATAGGCTAGGAATCTTCAGGAATTGCATGATAGAATTGCCTGATAATTGATGCCTGATAGCCTAGGGTTTCTTTCTTGTATGGAACTAACATCATTACTATACTTTCTTAGTGTATGCATCATAGTTGTACATAACTAAGATTCTATAGCCTGACAATGTTTGGTTTAACCTTATTTCCTGTTCTTGTATGACGAAGGGTTTAGGGTAGAATTAGGTATTCGACTGTCCATAGGATCCAGTGTTATGTATTATTAGCATACACGAGTGTTGCAGGGTTGGTGGAAGTTTCATGGATGATTTATGTGGGGTCAACTAACCAGTTGAGGAATGTCTAGCCTTTCTCTAAGAAGTGAGAATAAGATGTATGCGTATTCTAGTGTGTGCTTTTAGGGTTGTTGTGGTGATATTCTTTAGTGCGGTTGCCACGCTGTTTAGCAGGTGTTGGAAGTACTATTATGAGTAGGTGACTTAGAGGACTCGGGATGATTCTTGAGGAAAGTATTGATAGGCGTGGAAGGTAGTATTAGGCCCATACTACTGGAAGCATAGGATCCATACTCGAATCGAGGGAAGTCACAAGGATTCTAAGGAGCTGGTTGAGGGAGATGGCATGGTAGGTAACATGATTCGTGACAACGTTACTATATCTTCCGATATTTTGGTTATGGTTGTTCAGGATGAGGATGGGTCTGGTGGTTTTTGGGGCCTTAGTAGCCATGACAGTTTGGGTTTGAATGGTACAAACCTAGGTAAGTTAGTTGATTTGAGGTCTCGAGGGCCTTGCTCGATGGTAGTGCCAGTTGAGTCGCGGGACTCAAGAAAGAAACGATTGTTATGATCGGCTCAAGGATTGCAACTAGAGGCTGAGTGATTGGCAGTATGGCAGTGTGGGAATGCACAAGAGGATTTTTGTGGATTGGTTGCCTTGATATGCGTTCAAGGGTCTGTTTTCTTTGAATATTGGCAGGTCAGGTACCAGATTGATGGTTGGGGAATTGTGGTCGAGGTAAGTGGTAATCCATTGGTTTCGGGATGGAAAATCGGTGCTATGAATGGACTGTCAGAATTATTGCTTGTGCATCTACGCGGGGTTTTCAATGTTAGAAGAGGTTATGATTGGAAATTTTTGAGGTCTTCATCTGAGATTCTGAATCTCTTAGGGTTTGCTTGGTTCTTATCTGGAAGATTATATTGTGAGTGTTATATATTCCACGAGTCAGGGACGGTTTGTACCTGGTTGAGCAGGTTTGAGATATGGTTTGGTTACAACACTAGTGGGTGGTAATTCGAACCCTATGTGGGGGAGAACTGAGTATCCTTCTTAGAGGATCATTGATCCGTTCGAGTCAATGGTGTCGGATGAATGGTACATAGGGATCTGTGGTTCGGGTATGTGAGACCTTGTTTCAAGATTTGGTTAAGTCAGGGGTGTAGAGCAGGTTGTTATCAATGTATGTGTTCGGGGATACAAGTGTCGCATTCATGGCAAGAAGCTATTGGACAAGGAGCTCGTTGTAGCCAGTGGTTCCTTTCGGGAACGTCGAGGAATAGGTCAGGAGGCGTTGGGCACTCTGGTTGAGTATTTATCGTTGAGGGATTTGTCAGCTTGTTATATAGATTGATATCTATAGTTTGGGATGGACAGTTGCTGTTTGGACGATCAGTTTCAGAGTTTGGTATGTTTAGTTCTGCATGGGATTCGTTGCATAGTGTATAGGATTGTTGGATTAGTCGCAATGTATTCTCGATCGTTGGTCATTCATTGATCATCAATACCAGAGGTTCCCTTGGAAGTTTTATCGAGCTAGTGGCGTGATGGTAGGATCTGTTTGGTTTCAATCAAGGTGTCAAATCTTAGTTCGACCATCCACGAGAATGCTTTTGTTAGCGGTGGAGGTTTGTCATTTCGGTTAGATCTACTGGTACTACACCCTATCCGTAAGGTTGTGAGAAAGGAGTATTGCAGTAGATCTAGGTTTGGTTATGGGATTCTCTTGAGGGCATGTATGGAGATAAGTTCATTAGATATTGTCGTGAGGGGTGTATGTGGGTTGGAAAAGATAGCAATGGAGCACTTGGTTCGAATTATATGGTTGGTTTTTTTATTTGGGTTATATCCTTTGAATTGGAACAAGAATGCAACCACCTATCTCATTCTTTGGATGTGTGCGACCATGTTTCCCCCTAAATTTTGCATTAGTAACATCATGCGTTGTGGAGGGAATTATGCATGATAAAAAGGTATGGTCTGGGTTATGTTCGGTTAACGTCGAAAGGAATGTTGAATGGGTTTTTGCATGACAGTGGGTTGATGGTTGAGAATCTTTAGACCCAGTGGCGCTCGTCGTGAGTCTTCAGGCTTGTAATGGAACAACAACAAGAACGGTGTAGTACCATGAGCTTATCGTTTTAGTGGTTAGAATGTGTCACGATGTATCGTGAACCAGTAGTTGTATGATTCTTGTGGGCGAGACCCAATATTCATTTGGTTGAGACTCTTAGGTCTCAGATCGTTAGT